CACACACACACACACACACACACACACACACACACACACACACACACACATATATATATATATATATATATATATATGTTTTTATAAACACATAGAACTAACATTCTATATGTACAACAGATAAACTAGTCAAAAAGATTCCTCATGGACTTGAAACATCTCTTTTGGATGCAAAAATAGAAAATAAAATAATTCTCAGAGAGCTGAAATTATAATAATCAATTTATTATTAATATTTATTGTTAATGTTTATCATTGTAATTTCGGTTGAGTGAAAATGATTTTATATTTTATTTTTATTTGAAAGATTCGTGAAATCTTGCTGATCAAATTTGCTATATACTGAGATTGAGATATTTCAAATCCATTAAAATTCATAAAGAAGCTTTTGGTAAAATTCTATACAATAATATATATATATACACTTTTTTTTTATAACAATTTTGAAAACTATAAAAAAATTTCCGATTAAGTTATAAGAAAAAATTATTACAAATGATATTTTTAATAATATATATCAAAGTTAAAATAATTTGAATTTATCTTCTTTATAATGTATTATAATATGATATATATAATTATCTTTAGTTTATATTATATAATTACCTTAGTTTTTAACATAGTAATAAATTCTTTATTTGTTTCATTCAATTTACTTATTTATTTTAGTGATTAATTGTCAGATAATAAATTTGAATGTTCAGACAATTTAATTTTATTTATCGTAGCATATTTAAAAAGTCACAAATATTTGAAATATTTGCGAGTTGAACCATATAACGAATTAAACCATTAATATTATATATATATATATAATATATATTGTTTATATAATAGAATTTCAATACAGATAAATATTTTATAAAATAAATATTATTAAATATTAAATAATTATATCAAATGGGAATTCAACTTATTGAAAATTTAAAGAAACTTTGAGTTTTTTGCAGAGAAATGAAAATAAAAAGAGATTCAAGATTGGCACGATTCACTACTAGAGATAATTTGCATTAATGATTGTTTGACTTTAATGTTAGATAAAAAATTAGAATACATAATAATGCAGACTTGATCTTATTTTCAAACTATTAAAGAAAATTTAATAATCAATAAATTATAAATATAAAATCTAGATGCACATTATATTATGAAATGTACTAACAAATTTCCATTATATGTATTAGCATAAAAATGAAAGTCTTATAATTGCATAATTAGTTTTAAAAAATAGTATTTTTTTTATTCAGGAATGTCTTTACAAGACATAACCGGAACTAAATTTTGATGACTATTATTTTCATAAGCTTAAATTTTGAAATTTCTATTCATAATTATCAAATCGATATTTATTATTGAAGATATCTCGAATTAGATAGGATAAATAATGCAATCCAATACGAAAATGTTATTGTATATTGTATATTTATGAATTTCTTATGAATATGAATAAATGTCTTTCAATATGAAAATATATCATAAACCATAAATTAGTAAGTATACTGGGGGAATCAAAGATATATATATATATATACATTGATAATACAGAAAAATTAAAGAAAATAGTTTTCTATTTGTAATAGTATTCTTTTTGCAAAAATGGAATCGCAAAAAAACTATAACTATATCACATTCATTTCGAATTCCATTTATATGAATGGAAAATTCATCATTCATATCAATAGAAAATAAATAAATAAAAAGATCTCAGTTGATACACAATAATTTAAATAAATATTTAAACTATGATTTGCAAGAGATTATTTCTCAATATATTTGTTTATTGTATTTTAATTAAATTGATTTTCTTTTAATATATTAAAGTACTCGTTGTAATTAGTGGAAATAAATTTTATTTGCTTAATATATATAGTTTTTTTGCATAATAAACGATACATTAAATAATGGCGAAATTTAATATTGAAAAAAATATTAAAACGCTTAACAAATCTAAATTAAAAAAATTAAAATTTATTATAAAAATTAAATATTTTATTTCTTCTTCTGCTTTGTGACATGTTTTAGTTTTAATTTATTAAAAATTAATTTTTTATTAAAAATAGGACTGAATATATTTTATTTCGATTTTAGTACAAATCTATCATTATTTATTAATATGTTTTTTATTGTCATATATTACACACACACACATACACACGCACGAACACACAACTATATATATATATTCTTTTTGATTTTGTTTGTTAATCATATAATTATATAACTATACAAAATTTGTTATCTTAATTTGATAAGATATATTTGCAATACATCCACATATTTCCATGAATTGCATTTTAATAAAATTGCATTTTTTTCATTTATTTTGTAATGTTTAGAAAATATATCAGATTTTTTTATATTTGATATAATAAATCAAATATAAAATATTTTCGTTTTTGATAAAAATATTATAATATTATATTTAATACACTATTATAAATTATAAATAAAACAGATTAGTTTTAATTTTCAAGTTATTTATAAAAAATATTATATTGAACTCTGGCTATATATATGCGTTCATGGCGCCATATATGCATCAATATGCAGTCATCACTTATAAATTATTTATATAAAAATATCAGGACAGTCGATATTCAATATGCTGAGCTTATGGAAAATCTACTTCTATATGGATTTGAATACGACTTTTTATTTGCTTTTTATTCAACAGAAAAATTAAGTGATGAGATTGATTTTATTCTTGTTTCTTTTTTTTTTTTTTCGAATTCCGCGGATTTGAAAAAATAAGTTTTCAACAAGTTCATGCATTATGCATATCGATTATCAACCGTGATATATTACATAATAGCGATTTACACCCATAGATTACATAAACAATTAATAAATGTATACTGGCATATACATTATCATGAACGCATAGGTACAGGCAGAAAGATTTTATATTACCTATGATATCAAAAATATCATATTTAAGAATAATTCAAAAACTAACCGATTATTAATTATATGTAAAAAAAAAGTTATTTAAAATAATATTCTTCAAATAGATTCATCTTAAGTTTTAATGATCAGAAAATTCATATCAATCAAAATCATATCAATCAAATATATCAAAAATTATAACTTCAATATTAAATGGATTTTACGAGTTATTTTGGCACTACAATTGTTTTACGTAACAATTAATATGTCTAATAAGTTGAATTAAATAGAATAGTTATATAAAAATATATGATATTTGTAATGATAAATAAACCCTCAAGCTGATAAAAAATTAAAATAGATGTCTTATTAAAATAGATGTCTTATGTTGATATTGGTAAAATTATATATTTTATTTGTTTAAAAATTATTGCAATCTATTCAGTAGTTTAAAGAATCAGAATGGTTTTTTGAGTACTGCAAGTTTTTGAGTACAAAAAAGAGAAAGATCGTGGTTCCGACCGGGATCGAACCGGCGACCTTCTGCGTGTAAAGCAGATGTGATAACCGCTACACCACGGAACCTGTTGTATCCTAGTTAAAAAAAACAATTTACTATGATAAATCATAATGTTAAGTATAATTTTTATATAAAATATACATTAATTAATAATTAAAGAATAATTTATTCCAGATTTTAGAACAGAATTTTATGTCAAATAATATCTTATGATGAAAGATCGATCACGATAAATTTTTAAGTTGACAATTTGTGATCAAAAAAATCAAAATTCATTCAAAATTCATTGCTTCGTACATCTTGATGCGAACTTTCATATTAACATAATTCAAAAATTATTCTTTGAGATTCTTCCAATAAAACAAATCTAAACTTAGACTTGCAATGTTGATTCAATACAGAACAATATAATATATGTAATTATATTATAATTATAACTATATTATATATATAATATTGTTTTAATTTCATTAATTCTATAAGAGTTTATGAAGCATTAGGGATAGATTTAAATCAAATTGTATTTATTTATTAATTATTTATTAATTAAATTTAAGAAGAATAATTTATGAATAAAAATTAATTGAAAATTCAATAACAGATATTAATGGAGTTCATAAATTAAAAAATTAAAAATATAAAATTAAATTATACCATAAAATGCTGTTTTTATTTTTGCTATTTTTTGATATCTAATTATTATTCCTTGATTTATAAATACATAATAAAATTTTTTATATTATATCTACATAGATGAATAATTGTTTTTTTTATATATTTTAGTTTTTATACAAAAGAAAATTACGTTATGCGAAATTTTTGTTTATGTTTATTATACATAATTATTATACATAAACGCAATTATAAGTAGTTTTGTAAAAAAAAGAAAATTGAACAAAATTGAAAGATAATTTCATTTATCATTTATTCTATGCATATAATAATATTTATAAAAAAATTTAAATATAAATTACAAAAAACAATAATAAAATAAAATATATATAAAAATGAGAATTAAATTATATTTCTTTTAATTATTATTCATAAGATTATTCGATAAAATCTTTCTATATAATTTAATACGTGCATATATATATATATGTAAAATATGTTTTTTTCAAATAAAGTAATATTAAATAAAATATTTTGAAATGGAGTATTTTAATTAATAAATTTAGAAAATTGCAATTTTTTATCTATATTATTTTTCATAAATTAATTATTTCATAAATTATTTAATATCTTATAATTTTAAATTTTAATATCAATCAATGAATAGCAAAAAGATTCAATGAAGGCAGAAATGATTCAGTTGATTAAGTATTCAAACTTTGATTATGTAAATATTTCTATTAAAGATATAATATAGATTTAATATCATTTATAATAGAAATATAATATATGAAACCATACAATCCGATATAAATTCAATTTGATATAATTTGAAAAAATAAATTTTTTTTTTGCTTTCAATGAAATATTATACACATAATAGATTTTTATATAACGCATTTAATACATTATATGAAATCATATTATACGAAAATTTTTCTTGTACAACAGAAATAATATAAATGCATATATATAACACATTATATAAGAATCATATTATATAAAAATACAAATATAATATTTTTAGCACGTTGTAAGAATTAGCATTGTAGGAATGTTAAGGCCCGGATTTGTGAAATGATTGAGTCCTGCTTTATTTTCAACAGTTCGACTACCTGCCAATAACCTAACAGGCCTAATTTATGAGCAGGCATAGTTTTCCTAACGTTTTCCAGGTCTTAGTTTAAGCAGATATCAAAGCAATGACCACTTCAAGTTGCCTTTGCCATGTGATGGACTACCGTAGAAGCGAAAGCAAAGGTCCTAATCCCCACGCACTGCGACGCGAAGACCCATCCTTCGAAACCGCCCTTCGACGACGATTGGTCTCTCTAACCCCTCTCTGTATGCATTTTCACGAGAAGCAAGGAAAAACCAAGATTCATGATCTGGATAGTCGAGTTAGAATAGATATAGAGAACGGACAGATAGATTTCGGCACAGTTTACATCAAAGCACAGTTAAAATCACACAGTTAACCGCAAAGAGTTAAAGTATCACCATTCGTTCACTCAGAGGTCATAAGATAAAGGATTATATAGTTCGGTAATAGGTGATCCTTCGAGCAATAATATCAGTTTAGGCACACCATTTACGTAATATTCAAAGTCGTAGCACGCTTGCGACTTTAACAAGGAATTTATATTATAGGAGTATACTATAATATATTTTTATTTAAATTATAATCTGTTATCGATATCATTTATTTACAATTAATTTCGATGCATGAACAGATCAGAAAATTCAAAATATATATGCATATTTTAAGATTATTCATAACTTTTGCTAATAAATTCTAAATCGTTATAACTTATATTTATTATATTTGTCAAATATTATAAGATGATGAAAAAAAAAAGAAAAATTTTATTAAAATCATACTAAGTATGATTTTAAATATTGCACAAAAGGGAGTATCTGACCTAAATATTATTATTCGAAGAATCACTTACAGTTGTACAAATGTTTATATTATGAGAACCAATAGTTTCTTTCTTTAATCATCTTCGGCGAAAAATACAAATTAAAAAATTAACAAAGAAGATCGCAATAGAAGATGAATTTTCAAGGATGCTGGATCGCATCGTGGCGCGTGGGGGTTAAGACCCTTGTAAGATATATAAAATATTAAAAAATTTCAAGTAGTAGTTTATTTTCAATATTCAAAATTAATTTCATTTTTATTGAAAAATCACTCGTTGAAACTAAGTTTTTATAAAAAAATATGAATATTATAGACTTATAAAAATGAATATTATAGACTAAATAAAAATTCGTTAATCTTATTGTTTTATTACTTATTGAAAAGTTTACATAACTTTGTCATATAATTGAATACCTCAGCACAATTAAAAATATCAAGCTAAAAATCATCTGGAAATAACAAAAAAATGTTTTTTCTTCGCGATCACGTAAATGAATCTGGTAACAATGGAAGCAGCTACTCCGTTTTTAAAAAAAACTCCTCAGATTATTGTATGTTCATTTTTTTTTTTAAATCCGCTTTTTATTCAACGACGAATCCTTATTTATAAAGTGATTTCAATTATTCATTTATTCGAAAATATATTCGATATTTTCCTTTTACTTATGCATATGATATATTATTTCTCAACAATTCTAGTTAACTATCTCTAGCATTGAATATTTTATATACTTTATAAAAGATATATAGGATATCCAGAATTGAAATTAATACGTTATCATTCGATAACATATTATATTAATTGAACTGAAATAATATATCACTGAACTCTTAAGAACTTAAAGAAACATGATATCGTTATGGAATGATATATTGTCGATATATCATTCTTTCTATATTTCTTCGAATCCGCAAATATAAAAATAAACTATAAAAAAAACATAAAACAAAGTGATTGAAATTATAATAATTGAAGTTACAATGATAGATAATAACAATAAGATTATAATTGCTATTATTATAATTTCATTTATTGTAATTATGTTCGTGTAAAAATTTTATATGTTTTATATTTTATATTTTATATTATTATATAACATATATTTTATATATTAATATCAAATGATATATTATTATCAAAATTTATTCAGTATTTATGTTACAACGAGTACATTTTGATTTTATTTTTAACAAAAGAAAAAATAAGTAATTTGATAATTTTTATAATTGTTAAAAAACATTTATGCAAATATATATTTTTATTGAAAATAATGGAAGACCAACCAAAAATTTTTTTTTATTTAAAAATTCTAAAAAATATTTTTTATTTTGCGTGAATTATTTATTGTTATTTTTATATTTTTAATATTTTCGTTTGACTGATTTTTGTGTTCAAAATCTAACGGTATTAATAGATTTTATCATTATTCATGAATTATATTTATATATGTATGTTTATATGATGATATAATATAACACATGATATAACGATTTACAAGAATCATTTATATGTATTAATGATTTAATGCATTTATATAAACAATTCAAATATTAATATAGTTATTATCATAATTAAAATATTATTTGTTGTTTTATTAATGTTAAATATTAAATCTTATTTTTTAATGTAGAAATTAAACAAAAAATTTAAATTAATACAAATTTATCTATAAAGAAAAACGCATAATGATTGATCAACATTTCTGATCGATAACTGATCAGTATAGGCATATTCATACATAAGTATATAATATATTAATAACAATTATCTTTCTCAATAAACAAGAGCATGACAAAGCAAGAAAATAATCTCTAGTTGTCTATACGTGAGTAAGATATTTATTGTATATTTTATAATAAAATAAAATAGAAATAAACATTCGTCACGGTACAAACAAGTGATTGGATTGTAATTTAAGTTGCTAAAGAACTTATTTACCAACAATTCAATTTCAATACATTATTACACGATTGAATTATTGTCGTTAATAATTATTTTAAATTATTTTAAATTATTTTAAATTATTTTTATAATATATGTCGATTTCGATTAATTGTCCATAATGAAAATATTTAAAAAGCCTTAAACAAAAATGAATAAAAGTATTTAGATTTTTGTTTGCTCGAAATAATATAACAATCTTAGAGAAATATTATGTTCATATAAAAACTTTCTATTAAAAATCAATTTTATTATATTTATTATTAATTTCTTACAAAATATATAATAATAATATAATACAATTAAAATATTGATAACAATTAATATTGAATATACTTATTCATTTCATTAATATCAATGCTTTGTTACTTAGTTATTTGTGATACTTATAATAAAGAGATATGTATATCTCATAATCATAATAAATTCATGTACTCATATACATTAATATTGATTTTTTTTTATTATTTTTTGAATTTATTATTTAGATTAAGATTGAAAGAAAACCATAGTAATAATAATAAATACAACATAAGAATCTTCTTATATATTGAAGAAATGTTCAAGCAAAATAAAAAAATTTATATTGTAGAAAAA